GACGGTGCGATTGGCATAGGACAGAGTTTAGGGCTGTTGTACACAGGGTCGCTGTGAGTTGCAAGCGACTCGACGACACATGACATCAACAACAACTGTACTATTGAGTTTTAACTGACCCATAGCTGACCCTCCAATGGGTTTTCAGAGGTAACAGAGGGAGAGCTGATGGCCTCATCATGTCAAGTTGTGTTCCAATCCTAAAGACACGGGGTTTGAATCTACCAGCTGCTCCACGGAAGAAGGAGAAACAATCTCCTCCTCTGTTCAACTCACTGCCTCTGAAAACCAGCTGGAGCGTCAGTTCTGATTCCATGGCACATAATCATCCTGGTAGCCACCTCCAGGTAGTCACTCTTTTTAGTGAACCCTGGCTCTCTGATCTCAGGGAATGCCCAAGGCAGCCCTGGAGGGTGCATAAGAAGCCGTGTATGGTGTGTTCAAGTGCATGGTGTGTTCACAATGTACGGTGTGTCCACAATGCACTGTGTGTCCACAGTATACGGTGTGTCCACAGTGCACGGTGCATCCACAGGGTACGGTGCGTTCACAGGGTAGGTGTGTCCACAGGGTATGGTGTGTTCAGCTTAGCGGCACCTCAGAGTCCTCCCTACAATCCTGCGTGGAGGGGCTGTTTCACAAATGAGGAAATGCCCTCCCCTCACCCCAGGGATTAAGGAACTTGTCTGAAGACACAGGACAAAGCAGGACTGGAACCAGGAGCCATTGGCCCGGCTTCTGAGAAAAGGGCAGGGGTAAAGGAGCTGGGGCGGACACTGGCCATGGCACTGGAGGGATGGGTGATGCGGAGGGCAACAGGGCCTTCTCTGTGACCCCACATTAGCCACTGACCCTGTTTTGACCCCCATTGGAGGAAGAATATGCCCCACCACCGCCACTATCCAGGCTTGATCACTTCCTGAGAAACATCATAACATGTAAGCTGGGTATATGAAAGACCAGACCAGTCAACAGACCCTGAAAAGGGTCTGAGCCTTGTCAAAATAGCTAAAACCTAACACCCGAAACTGAGAAATACCATCTTAGTCCTTCCCGGGACCCCTGTAAGAAGGAGCCCCTGACTGCACCTGCGCCATTTTGATCGTCTCTGCCTGCTGTGTGGCCGGGTCACTTGGCGTCCCTCTCAGACCGCACAATAAAGGCTTGTTTGTTTCTTGGGACCAGTTTCTTTCTTTCTCTCTCTCTCTTCCTTTCGAGGCTTTTTTTTTTTAAAAAAAAATCTAACATCCCACCAACTTCCCCTTTGGACTTGGTATCAGATACAAAAAGAGTTGAGGGTGTGAGAGAAACAAGAAGCTAGTCCAAAGAAATGAGCAGGTCATTACTGTGCAGTCTGAGAGGGACGCCAGGTGACCACAAGCAAGGAAGGTCAAAATGGCACATGGGCAGTCAAGGGCGGCTTCTTTTTGGAGGGTTTTAGGGAGAACTAGGGAAGATGGTATTTTTCTCGGAATTTGGGGCTGTTAATTAACTTGAGTTCATCTTGCTTGGATCCACGATTAACACCCTTAGTATAAGCAGTCAGAAAATAAGGAGACACATTGTACTGGGAAAATCTGAAGTTAGGGACGTCTCCAAATTATTGAGGAGTAGTGATGTCAGTTTGATGACTAAAGTGCATCTGATTCAGGCTATAGTCTTTCCAATTACTAGCTATGCATCCGAGACCTGGACAATGGATAAGGATGACAGAAAAAGAACTGACATCTTTGAGCTGTGGTGTTGGAGAAGAGCACTGAACATCCCATGGATGGCAGAGAGAACAGATATGTCTTGGAGAGGGTGCAGCCGGAGTGCTCTTTGGAGGCTAGAACGATGAGGCTTCACCTCACATACTTTGGACATGTTGCTAGACGGTGCTATTCCTTGGAGAGGGACACGATGTTGGGAAGGGTGGTGGGTCGCTGAAGGAGAGGAAGACCCTCAACCAGGTGGATTGACAAGCAGACTGCTGCAATGGGCTCTTGTGTGTCAGGAAGTGTGAGGATGGCGCAGGACAGGACTGGGTTCCGACTCTTTGTTTTTAGGATCTTGCTTGACTGGATGGCACCTAACATCAAAAACAATTAACTTGAGTCTGGGCTTTTGTGATCAGGCCCAGAGCCTTATCAGGATCCACTATATGGGCTGGTCTTTGATCTGGCCACCTTAGATGTTATCAGGTTCTCAAGGAGTGATCAGGCCTAGAGACAACTGGTGAGGTGACATTCTTCCTCCACTTGGAGGGAGGCGGAACCTGCTGGCCACAGACTTGTTTCCCCCTCTGGGGCCCAGCTTGCCATCCTTCCTCAAGTCCTCTCTTGCTGGCCTGGCCCTGCCCACACTTCCCCAGTGGCCTGCATCGTCTGTGCCCCCTCAGGATAGGGAGGAATGCAGAGGCACGGGGGCGGGGCGCTGCAACCAGGTGTAGTCTCTGAAGAACCAGGACCACAACTGGCCGGTGATGTCACCAGTGCCTTCCTCAGGGACGCTGCTAAACCAGCTCCCGTGGGCCTGGGGACAGTGAGGGTGGGGATTGTCCAAAGAAGATAACCAGTGACCTCCTCCTGGCTAGGACCCTCAGCTCTGGGGACCACCAAGGCTCCATGCCGCCTCTGTCTGGTCGGCTCACTAAGGCTCCCAGAGACAAGACCACCTCAGGGGGTGAGCAAGGGAGCCCTCAGGAGGAGCTGGGGAGGAAGGTCCTTTTCTCTGGGGCCTTCTGCTGCCTGGGGGGGAGGAGGGTATGCGTCAGTGAGACCAAGGACAAAGAGGAAGTTTTGAATGGCACCCCAGGCCCCTGCGGTCTGAAAAGCCCCGCCTCCACCCCAGAAGCGCTCTGGTTTCTTTAAAGAGAAACTTGAACCACCAGGATGGTCTGGAAGGGCAGCTGCAGATCCCGCTGCAGTGGGGATGGGCTGGGGGGCTTGGCCGTTAGAGGGGCACCTGCCACAGCCAGTGAAGACTCTGTTTGCAGAAAAACAATGGACACTGAGCAGGGCACAGCAGGAGGCCCCACTGGCTGCAGTCACCTCCCCAAGAAAAGTGGTCAAGGCTCAGCCTGGCCTGGGATGCGGCCTTTGCCCAGCCTCCTCTCCTCAGTGTCACTATTTCCTGACGTCACTGGAGTCACCTGCTGGCCTGATGGGGGGAGATTCCTGCAGCCTCACCGTGTCCCCTGCACACTGCCCTGAGCATCTGCCAGGACTTGGGGCCCAACATCTGCTACGGTCTCCCCATTCCCGCCTCATCGCTTCATCAATGAGCAGCACTTTTCCTCTTACGGTCAGTCCCCACTGGCCAGCCCCACTAGCCGGGTTGGGAGGTGACCCTAGATTTGAGTGCCCCAAGCTCCCCCAGGTCTGAGCATGAAGGTGGTCCACCCCCAGAATGGAATCAGAAAAGGGCAGACAGGTCACCATCAGAACCAACACGACTTTAACGATCGATGCTGCCCCCACACTGTCCTCGGGCACTTGGCAGGGTCCTCACTGACCATAGCAAAGCTGTCCGCGGTGGGGCAGCTGCAGCCTTGGGGTGGGGACTGACATGAGCAGCGATGTTCAGCCTCTGCTCACGGCTTTTTAGCTTTTCCTGCTGCGGGTTTGCCCTGCGCCTCTGGGTAGGGGGTGGTCTGGGGCTGAGGCACTCAAGTCTTAACAGCCTCTCAGGGACACGGTGGTCCGAACCTGCACCAGGAGAGCCGGGGCCTTGCCAAGGTCAGGAGCCACAGTGCTGGCGGGCTGGGCCGCAGCCAGTCTGCGCCTCCGCCTCCCGCGCCCTCGCTCTGCGCCACGATCACGGAGATGCCCGCGGGCACCTTGAAGAAGGTCGGCGCCTCCCCAGGCGGGGGCAGGGCAGCACGTGCTGCGGGACTCGGTGCTCGTGCTCCAGCTGCGGCCACCGCAGGGTCTGGGCAAGGAAGGCCGTGGGCCGCGGTGCAGACAAGTCCGAGTGTTCAGTGCGGAGGGAGGGTCTCGGGCCTCAGTTTCCCGCCCAGGGCAGAGTCGTGGTGGGATGATGGCCCCGGACATCCAAGGAGCTGGACTCCAACTTCACGGTCTCTGAGGGTACAGGGTGGCTTGCAAGGGGTCCCCAGGATGGTAGACCCCTGAGTGGGCACCGAGATGTCGAGGCTGCGCACAGCGGACAAAGCGACGGCACCACCCCGCCGCGCTGGCCAATAGAATGAATGGGCTAAAAATAGCAGCCAGTGGGATGTGCGCGTGGTGCTCTTTAAGAGCCGCGGGAGCGCGGAGCGGCAGTCGTTCTGCGCTGCGCCTGGAGACGCCTTTGAGTCGGCTTCACGCCTGGTGAGGGGCGAGGCTGGCCCGGGGCGCGGGGGCCGGGGGCGCAGGGCGCAGCGGGCGCGGC